ATGACGGTCTGATGTTCAGGTCCCGTTTTGTTACTTACACAGTTTATCACATACGCTTTATTTTCTGTTTAACATAAACACAATCACATCTGGGAAAGTTGTTGAAAAACTGGTCAGCTCAACAACTATTTTGTTAATCTGTTAATTTCAAAACCAAAAAATACCCGTAGAGAGATTAAAATTGACAGTCTGTTAACGACAACCATATGTATTTGTAAATTATTGATGTCTTTCTCTAAACTCACATACAGGAATAGTTTATAAATTGCTGATCCTGTGTGAAAAGTATGCAGCATTTCTTTTATCTGTTGGAAAATGCTTCCTTTAATGTATGTTATCCATGAACATTGTATCTAAGTGATACTGCTTGATATCGAACCACCACAACAAACGCATTGCTACATAAGTGTGTCATCACCATTGTACATTCCTTCAGCTTGTAACTTTGTAGTAGGAATCTATTACTGCATGGTTTACATGAAATGCATGTCCATTGTTTTGACCTTGAGCACATCTGAGACGTCTGAAAAAGACAAAAGGTCCAGACGGTTTAATAGAAATATTTACTTTATTTACTGTATCGACTGACCAATTTTTAATAGTTGTTTCTTTTAGTTTATTGCAAATCAACGTTAACTGTGACGTCATTATTTAAGGATTAACGTTAATGTATTTTTTATGTTATGGAGGTATAACACAAAAAAACGGAGTGTACTCTAAATAAACCGCGAAACCTCCATAACATAAAAAAAAATCAAGTCAATCCTTATAACTTAATCTACTATACACAGTCCCTGTGGAAATCCACTTTTATTGATGAACTATTTTCTCTTAGACATCTTTACGCCGCTGCATCAGCCAATCAAAAGCGACGTTACAAACGGCGACGTCACATTTTTACGTTATGGACTGATAACATAAATGCTTAAGCCAATGAAAATGCTTGTTACAAGCAAGATTAAAATATAGTCTTATATCGCAATGGACTATGACATTGCTTTAAACGTTGATTGTAAATTATCGCGCCAAATCATTTGTAAATGAAAAACAATTTAAACACACAACATACAGCGACAACTTTTGTTGCCATTTTATTAAAATTTGATGGGACATAATAGACGGGTTATGAATAAAAGAGCATGCACTCATTTGCAAGTTCATAGCACAGTGATGTATTGATTTTTTCATCTGTACTGAGGATACTTCAATACATGACACACCCACATACATATGGAACCGCACCATCTCCGAGAATAGTCGCCAAAGCATCAATAAAACCATGCATATAAAATCGGGCGAAATACGAGGTAAAGAAGCACCTTTAGAACGAATATGGTAAGTTGATGAAGAAACCAAATATGTTCTGCATCACGTGGCCATTTCGTCCATTCAGGACTCTTCGGTGTTATTAAGGTTAAAGAGGGAAAATACTTGTCAAGACGTGTTCCGAAGCCAATGATGTAATACTAATGTAAACAGGAGAGATGTCCGTTAACACCCTTTAAGGTGGTACACCTTTGAAACTTTTGGCTGAAACAGATGATGTATTGTAGATACAACAATAAGGCCAACCTCTGGGACTGATAGTCAAACAGCAGATTCCCCTACCTTGTTGTATCGAACTAATCGCGGCAATATGAGGTAAGGTAGCACTATTTATACGGTTTTGTTAATGGATGCAGAAAGCCATTGTAAATATATGTAATAAAATCTCTAGTTTTAATCAACACTAACGAACATTTTTTACGGTCGAAATCATATTGGTCAATCTTTGAATTATGACGTCACTTAAAATTATTTGTGCTGTCATATTCAATTGTGAGGTCAATATGTATGGCGACAGTTTCCAATCGGAAACAAGAAATATGCATATCCAAGGAAAGCATGAGGTTTTGTAGACATTAAAAGAAAAGGTCCGCAAACTCGTGATGGGTAATTATCATGTTTTAGTTAATTTTCAAATTTTAAAAGACTCTGTAAACCTCGGGTCTTTATGCAATTTGAAAGTCAACTAACTCAATTTAGATGACCATGATAAGCAACCACCGCTCGTTGGAGAACCCCCATATCTTCTCTTAGTCGACCAAGTTGTGCAATTCATAAGTTGTGTTTTTCGTTCTTATGACAAAATCGACTACTTCAGACAGTTTATAATACTGGCAGATTACCTTTATCAGCATTAAACTGCCTGCTAGCGCGAACATAGTTGTAGGAGCGTGAACAATAACATCACAACACAATAGGTATAAAGGGAGTAATAACAATAGCTTGCCATGTATCACCGCCTCTGTCCGCACCAAAGCGCCGAGGTGCCAATCAGTCCCGCCGTCATCGTGTTTGTGGTGACCACAAATAAGTAAGGTATGACAGGTATTGCTCGATTCGCTTGTACATCATGATACCTGCCTGTCCTTCTCGTCCAGATACATATTGTTGTTATTACTGGTAATAAAAAAAAATGGTACAAACAACAATAAACATAAAGTAACAGCACAATCATTCGGCGGCTGGTTGCCAAAGACTTTAAACAATTCATATTTATTTTATCCTTACATTGTAAACCAATCAGATGTGAACAAAATATTTGTGAATTTAATGTCTAAATACGTAGCGCTTGTATCGGTGTTAGTATTGCATTTAAAATGTAATGTCATGTGTAGGCGATCCTGGTACGCATATCACCAATACACGATTTATCATTCTGATATTGGTATCTTTCGGGTTTTTTTGGGGTTTTTTCACTTCTTTTTCACTTAGATATGCATAATGTTACTGTACTTTTGTCAGTATAATAGAGTGTATCGTAAATACTCTCCACGACTCAGTAGAGCAGGAATAGGTTTGCGCATGAACAAGCTCGAGTAAAGTTTTAATGTAGGCTTTCCTTCGTTAGTTTCCGTAACTTCACGGTTATGGCCGAGCAAATCAGGTGCAATTTGGGCGGAGCTTGTATTTTATATTGACTGGTCCGTCTGTTTATTTGTTTATTGGTCAAAACATCACTGCATACTAAAGTGAAAGAGTTGTATACTTTTGAAATGTGTGTGTAACTAACTACTTAGAGTATTGCTGTTTTTAAAAATGTCTCGAAGTTTCGAATAGATGTAATAATTATAGTAAAAGTTCTCTTAACTTAATTGTTAAGAACTGCATCTTCTGTCAAGGCGTATGTATGGAGTTATGAAGAGGTTGATTTTAACTATTGACATTACATAGAAGTGCTACAAATGATAAACGGTTCTTAATTTATCGGAATGTGTTCATAACACTGGATTCAATATATGTAGCTCGGTTTGTTTAGTGAAGTACCTAATATAGCGCTTCGGAATCACTGCGAATGAGGTTAATAATAATACCCTTGGAATAAATACAATGAATAAATATTGCCTGGCGTGCTTCATTAGAAAAAGATTTAGATTGACTTCGATGAAGCAAAAGACGCCTACCTTTCCCAAACGGATAGTCTTATTATCTTTGTACTTTTTCAAATGTCCCAATGTAAATGTTGTTCGTATTTTAATTTAGTTTTACCGACTTACGCTTATGCTAACATTTCAGTATTATATTGTTTCGCACTGACACTTTATAGTTTTATTAAATTCAAAGAGATCGGCGCTTTGACGAATTCGCACATGCAAAAAACTATTAGAAACAATATACATGGTCTTCAATTGGCGCAATCATAATTTAGCGCAATTTTTAAAGCGCAAAAATCGCAAAAATAAGGCCATCGCTAAAATATGCACTTTGAATATCTTAGAATAAAGCCAAATGTATATTATTCGGTATAGATGTATACCATTACGAAGTTGAAACTATTTTCCGATTAAAAGATCCAGTGGTGATATGGACGCTTCGACTTGATTATTGTTACTGATGCAGCCTAATGTATTCCTTGTGTGATCTCTGTCACCTGAATACCTCTGTAATTGCAGTTAAAAGTCATAGCAAATGTTTCTCCTGGAGTTTACTGTCATGTGACATAATGATATGTAGCCCTCTCCACCTGTTTGCATTGGATCAGGTTTGTACATATTTCCTGTCAGGATAAACCGTATTTATTCCCGGGAGGAAATTCATCCGACCCTATGTCTCCGTGACCGACTTGTTAAGACCACCTTCTGGTTAGACGGTTGTCAACTAGACTTAATCATGTTTTATTTATCAAATATGTATGAAAACAATAGAATTGGATTTCTCATTTAGAATACCTACCTAAGCGTTAATTGTTGTGAGGTTAATAAACATTAACCACATCCTTTGAAAGAAATGCTCTAAAATGAACAAAAATGGGGGGAAATTTCAACGTGTGAATAGCGTATAAACGAGTGAAGGATATATTACATATTATCCATGGTATAGGTGTGAAGGTATCTCCCCTGTCATATATTGATACACATTTTGTAATATACAGAATGGTATGCCACCAACAGTTACTGACGTCATATAACAGAGTTTAAATATGTAGAAGCGTGGAAATTTTGTTTGATAGGAGATAACCGTTACAGTAATGTGACTAATTTATTCAGTAGATAATGCAATCTTTTCTAAGTATAAGACTGACTACAACTTATCATCTGGACAGTCACTCAAATACACAAAAAAAGATATTCCCTGTATGTTGTCGTTGAAGTTCTATCCAGACATTAATATATATACATTTTCCTGCCATCTTTTATGTCAATTCGTTAAAGGTATACGCTTTTCTGACCACGGAAATTTGAAGAAAAAAAAAATAACGAAGAAAATGCCGATTAACATTTCACGTTTCAAAATATGGAACTCATCATATTTTTAGAATACGAATTTTTCAAAACGTACCAATGACCAGAATTGTGACGTGTATATACACAGCATGCACAAATGACGCAGCAGCAATGAGGCCCAACATTAATGACGCAGGTAGATTGCTTAGGTTTATCACTCGTGAGCGAAGATTGATATACCTTTGGTGACATTAATAGCGCGTGTTCTTTATAAAGCGAATAGTAGAGCTCTTCCCCACATTTTGGAGCTTTCGGGTAAACTGAGAGGCCAATTGTAGCTAGGTAGCTTGTTTAGAGTGGAAGAAAAGAAGAATCGCCATCATGATTGGAAAGTCAATCCTTGTTTTAGGATTACTGGTTGGTGTGTGCACAGCACAATTCAAATATAGAGGTACGTTTTTTTCCCCTTTTTTAATGATGAAAATTGACTATTGCTTTAAACATTTAGTTGGTTTAAACAATCTTTACCTTTGAAATTATTTGAATTTATAATCAACCTTTTGACATTAATTGCAAATGTCTTAAGCCTATTTTATTTTAATTTTCACTTTTCAATTAAGGTTGATTCAATCGTTTACATACCAACACTTGTATCAAACTATGCTTTCAACCCTTTTTCCTGATTTCTCATAGCGGTATTACATTGTATTGATATCAGTCAATTGCTTTCAATAGAAATGGCATATTTAAATATGTTCGGGTTTAAAGAAATTAATTAGTTTGTAATCACCCTTAATGTATCGCACAGTTTTAGCCTTAATATACCTTTTTGTTATCAATATAATAGGTTTAAAATAATTAACGTCAAAGTTCTGCCTCCTCTGCCAATCTAGTGTAAACTGGAAAACATATATTTATTTGTGAAATGTACATTTTCGCGAGTTTTCATTCACCCCTGAAATACATAATGAACTTTTCCAACCTTTGAATTCGACGAATTCATCTAATACAAACAGATTTTGCTAATTATAATTGAAATAAATTGAAAAGGCACATATATCTCAGAAGACGCAAAACGTTTTTTAATAGCAAAAATCTTCCCTGATGCTATTATTTGAAAAGCCTTCAAAGTTACCAAATTTCAAGTATTCTGAATGAAAGATTTATCGTTACTCTTAAACACACTATAAGGAGTTACTTAAAAAGTTATTAACATATACCCCAAAAAAACACCAAGCGCTGTTTTGAATTGCTAACAGAAGACTTCCTCATTACCTCCCAGAACACAATTCGCTGTTTTGAATTGCTAACAGAAGACTTCCTCATTACCTCCAAGAACACAACTCGCCGGTTGGAGTTACTTGGAGCATTTGTCAATATTCTTCACAACTCAAAGCGCTATTTTGAATTGCTAACAGAAAAATTGTTCATTACCACCAGGAACACAATTCGCATAGTTACTGTATGAAGGATTTCTAATAACCATTAGAAACCCAAACTGATATTGTGAGTGACGTAAAAGATATATATATTCTTATTTTAAAGTAATATTTTCTACCCTTAATCATACAAAACCCTATTGTGCGCTACTGAAAGAGGATTTATCAAGACCACTATTTAGAGTAACTTAAAGAAGGAATTCTTATTACGCTTTAAGTTACACCAATACCTGCACCTACCTTACGATATCGCCGAAACATACGTTTTATACAAGAACAGCGGGATAGGTGTACCTCGGGAATCGTACTCTTAATTAATCTATTGTAGCCATCAGTAGGTATGCAGACAACGTTTATATATTCTGGGTAACGAGCTTCGATTCTATAACAGAGGAGCTTCGAAAATCTAACCACCTGTTTTTTCTCCCGTCCTCAATTGACATTGGCTGTTGTCTCCCTAGACACCTGTCCTCATATGACCCTGGCTGTTGTCTCCCTAGATACCTGTCCTCATATGTCCCTGACTGTTGTCTCCCTAGGTACCCGTCCTCATATGACCATGGCTGTTTTCTCCCTAGACACCTATCCTCATATGACCCTTGCTGTTGTGTCTCCTTACACCGGTACTCAGATGACCCTGGCTGTTGTCTCCCTAGACACCTGTCCTCATATGACCGTGGCTGTTTTCTCCCTAGACACCTGTCCTCATATGACCCTGGCTGTTGTCTCCCTAGACACCTGTCCCCATATGACCCTGGCTGTTGTCCCCCTAGACACCTGTCCTCATATGACCCTGGCTGTTGTCCCCCTAGACACCTGTCCTCATATGACCCTGGCTGTTGGCTCCCTAGACACCTGTCCTCATATGACCCTGACTGTTGTCTCCCTAGACACATGTCCTCATATGACCCTGGCTGTTGTCGCCCTAGACACCTGTCCTCATATGACCCTGGCTGTTGTCGCCCTAGACACCTGTCCTCATATGACCCTGGCTCTTGTCTCCCTAGACACCTGTCCTCATATGACCCTGGCTGTTGTCTCGCCAGACACCTGTCCTCATATGACCCTTGCTGCTGTGTCTCCTTCAGCACCCGTCCTCATATGACTCTGGCTGCTGTATCTCCTTCAGCACCAGTCCTCATATGACTCTGGCTGGTGTATTTCCCTCGGCACCTGTCCTCATATAACCCTGGCTGTTGTGTTTCTCTCGACACCTGTCCTCATATGACCCTGGCGTTGTGTTTATCTCGGCACCTGTCCTCATATGACCCTGGCTGTTGTGTTTATCTCGGCACCTGTCCTCATATGACCCTGGCTGTTGTGTTTCTCTCGGCACCTGTCCTCATATGACCCTGGCTGTTGCGCGGACGTTAAACCAAAAACAACAAACAAACCCTTGTTTTTTAATGACACAGCTCCGTTATTACGAATAGAAAATCGACAGACTGTTACGTAAAACACTAGATGGATAGTGAGACAAAATGTTTGGTAGTGTCTGGACATATATTAACTCAAACTACTTTACTATCGGGCATGCACCTACAAATAGCCAATCCCGCGACCTGTGGGTTGCCTATCTCATTTCCTATTCATTCAAAAATAAAGCCAGTATGCCTCTAATGTGTAAGGCAAGTACCAGTAAACTTCAGGGCTTATAAGATACATAAGTGCTATGGGGGACAGGTCGGGAGACTAATCTAGTGACTTTGTAGACCAGTCAACACACGGATTTTGTTTGATTTACCTCAGAAACTTAAAGATACTGGGGCTTTTGTGGGTCTCGTGTGGTCTTGCCGGGTTGCAAAAAGGCGCCAAGAGTTAATGACGTTACGAAAAGAAGACCGTAGCTGGTCTCATAATCATTATCACAAAAACGGTACCAATTCAAATGGCAATTTCCGACTATGAAAATGGTGCGTTTACCGTCCAAGATCATTATGTTACCGCCGCCAAAACGAACGCCTTTAATAATGTAATAGCCGGTAATAATGTAAACGCTGGCTGTGGCACGCAAAAGTGTGTTGTGGCGCGCAAAAGTGATACTCTTCTGAAAGCATAATGGGTTTTTTTTCGCCTTAGGGGGTTACACGTGGTCAACCATGCAGATATAACATAAAAGTACATGTAAGTAAATGCAATATCTATATTGACTTCGTTGAAAGAAGGAGGCGATCTATAGCGGCGATTCTCCAAGGTTGAAACACAGCTTATATTACCGTATCAGATATATCAATGCACATCTTCTTAAACATGTCAATTTCCAGCGGGACAAAGCGTGCGGAGTAAAAATGGCCAGGTCATCGCTGTACGCGTGACTCATTTCTGTCAGGCGACAGTCATGCTATTATCATCGCTGTCATCTGATGTATGTCCATTGACACGTCAAGGAATTTATCTAATATGTGCATCGCTCTTGTCGTCCATTGCCTCATTTATTTGACCTCTGGTGGATGCTCAGCATAAACAAACATAAACTATTGCCATCGATACTTATCGCCAAATTTTTATTTCTATGTTACAGCTATTGTTCAATGTATCGCAAGTATATATATGTATTGCTTTTGATGAGGGCCATCCAGGTGAACATATATATTAACATATGTTTGTCATATCAGAAAATTCTGTCAACTGTTAACTAATAAAGAATAGGCACGTTTTCATTGTTTGGTGGATTTTATTCTCAGAATACATATATATATCGTTAATTCCTGCTTAATTACGCGTATGCATTGAACCTGTTCATAATCAAACAATTTAATGATTTTACAACACATCATCTCTTACGCTTTTTGTTTAATTGTGAGACATATAATATTAATATTATTCAAAAAAAGCGAAATTGCATTAATGTGACATTGTAAAAACTATTTGGTTACGTATGTTAATCAGTATTCATATCTTAAGGTATCAAAAGGATATAAATCATAATTTTTCGCAAACTGTGTTTCATCGTTACATAATGTTCATAAAAACAATCATTGAATTATGTTTTTCTCATTGGAATATTGTTCTTAACTTTTATAGCCGCAGCGAAATCATCGCCCCCTAGGGCACCACCTGCCGGAGGACCACCACCACCACCAGCACCACCTGCCAGAGGACCACCACCTCCCGCCGCGCCACCTGCTGGAGGACCCCCACCCCCACCGGCAGCACCACCTGCCAGAAGAGCACCACCACCTGCACCACTAGCTGGAGGACCACCACCTCCCGCCGCGCCACCTGCCGGAGGACCACCCCCACGGGCAGCACCACCTGCTGGAGGACCCCCACCCCCACCGGCAGCACCACCTGCCAGAAGAGCACCACCACCTGCACCACTAGCTGGAGGACCCCCACCCCCACCGGCAGCACCACCTGCTGGAGGACCCCCACCGGCGGCACCACCTGCTGCACCAGCCGCTCCACAACCCGATGCCTTAGCTCCATTTGCTATACGTCCTGCACCTATCGCACCTGCTGCACCTGCTAGACCTGCACCCTTCGCACCTGCTGCACCTGCACCATTCGCACCTGCGGCACCTGCACCCTTTGCACCTGCGGTACCTGCACCATTCGCACCTGCGGCACCTGCACCCTTCGTTCCTGCTTCTCCTGCTGCACCTGCTCCTGCTTCTGCTCCCGCTGCTTACCAATTTACACCGTTCTGGTTTAATCCCACACCTTATTATCAACCATTTTATCAACCACCACCACCAGTCAATCAGCCACCACCTACATCCTATTACTCCTCATGCTCCTGTGATTATGTGGACGACTGCCCGCAGGGAACCGTTGATCAGGGATACTGTGCGAGCGGTGCAAATTACTGCTGCGAGCTCGAGAGTTAAGGTACCTTGCTCGCAAGAGACGTTGCTTCATCGAAAACTGACCAGGAGTATAACACATGCATAGCCTAATTGAATAATCTTCTAATTCGATTTCAAGTTAAGCCGTGCCGGTCTCTTTGTCTGTCATTAATCCAATGTATTGCATGAATGCATAAAGAATATAAATGACGAAATGAACTATTCACATTGACGTATTTTTTTGAAACTTTACAACTTTATGTGTTACAAATGTTACACATAAACAAATTCAAAAACATGTAATTTTGTATTATACCGTCTACTTTTATGTATTATTTTCTTGTGTCTTTCTCGTAACTGATTTCTATTATTCTTTTTCAGGTGACTTGATCTAGTGAATGAAACATTTACATGAAAACATTTTCGAATTGCCAAAGCATCGTACTTGGTTACATAACAAGAACAAAAGTGACATTTAAAAGTGAAAACGTTACAAGTTTATAAGTCTGGATAAAGCTTGAATTATGTACAGTCGTCAAGTTTTGTTGAGTAAAATATTTAAAAAATTACATTGTCTTTATTTCATTCCCTTTCTCTTAAAAATTCTGTTTCTTCTGTTTTCGAGGTGATGAATTTCGGATGGTGTATTGTTTATCAACACCTAAACACTATTATCGCAGAAACATATCAGTTACTGTACCTCCAACGTTAACATCGAATCGATTAGGACTAATAAACGTATCAGTTACCTTAAACGTTAACATCGAATCGATTAGGACTAATAAACATATCAGTTACCTTAAACGTTAACATCGAATCGATTAGGACTAATAAACGTATCAGTTACCTTAAACGTTAACATCGAATCGATTAGGACTAATAAACGTATCAGTTACCTTAAACGTTAACATCGAATCGATTAGGACTAATAAACGTATCAGTTACCTTAAACGTTAACATCGAATCGATTAGGACTAATAAACGTATCAGTTACCTTAAACGTTAACATCGAATCGATTAGGACTAATAAACGTATCAGTTACCTTAAACGTTAACATCGAATCGATTAGGACTAATAAACGTATCAGTTACCTTAAACGTTAACATCGAATCGATTAGGACTAATAAACGTATCAGTTACCTTAAACGTTAACATCGAATCGATTAGGACTAATAAATATATCAGTTACCTTAAACGTTAACATCGAATCGATTAGGACTAATAAACGTATCAGTTACCTTAAACGTTAACATCGAATCGATTAGGACTAATAAACATATCAGTTACCTTAAACGTTAACATCGAATCGATTAGGACTAATAAACATATCAGTTACCTTCAACGTTAACATCGAATCGATTAGGACTAATAAACATATCAGTTACCTTCAACGTTAACATCGAATCGATTAGGACTAATAAACATATCAGTTACCTTCAACGTTAACATCGAATCGATTAGGACTAATAAACATATCAGTTACCTTCAACGTTAACATCGAATCGATTAGGACTAATAAACATATCAGTTACCTTCAACGTTAACATCGAATCGATTAGGACTAATAAACATATCAGTTACCTTCAACGTTAACATCGAATCGATTAGGACTAATAAACATATCAGTTACCTTCAACGTTAACATCGAATCGATTAGGACTAATAAACATATCAGTTACCTTCAACGTTAACATCGAATCGATTAGGACTAATAAACATATCAGTTACCTTCAACGTTAACATCGAATCGATTAGGACTAATAAACATATCAGTTACCTTCAACGTTAACATCGAATCGATTAGGACTAATAAACATATCAGTTACCTTCAACGTTAACATCGAATCGATTAGGACTAATAAACATATCAGTTACCTTCAACGTTAACATCGAATCGATTAGGACTAATAAACATATCAGTTACCTTCAACGTTAACATCGAATCGATTAGGACTAATAAACATATCAGTTACCTTCAACGTTAACATCGAATCGATTAGGACTAATAAACATATCAGTTACCTTCAACGTTAACATCGAATCGATTAGGACTAATAAACATATCAGTTACCTTCAACGTTAACATCGAATCGATTAGGACTAATAAACATATCAGTTACCTTCAACGTTAACATCGAATCGATTAGGACTAATAACCATATCAGTTACCTTCAACGTTAATAACGAATCGTTTAGGAATAATAAACAAATCAGTAACCTTCAACGTTAACATCGAATCGATTAGGACTAATAACCATATCAGTTACCTTCAATGTTAACATCGAATCGATTAGGAATAATAAACATATCAGTTGCCTTCAATGTTAACATCAAATCGATTAGGAATAATAAACATATCAGTTGCCTTCAATGTTAACATCAAATCGATTAGGAATAATAAACATATCAGTTCCCTTCAACGCTAACATCGAATCGATTAGGAATAATAAACATATCAGTTGCCTTCAATGTTAACATCGAATCGATTAGGACTAATAACCATATCAGTCACCTTCAACGTTAATAACGAATCGTTTAGGAATAATAAACAAATCAGTAACCTTCAACGTTAACATCGAATCGATTAGGAATAATAAACATATCAGTTGCCTTCAATGTTAACATCGAATCGATTAGGAATAATAAACATATCAGTTACCTTCAACGCTAACATCGAATCGATTAGGAATAATAAACATATCAGTTGCCTTCAATGTTAACATCGAATCGATTAGCAATAATAAACATATCAGTTACCTTCAACGCTAACACCGAATCGATTAGGAATAATAAACATATCAGTTACATTAAACGTTAACATCGAATCGATTAGGACTAATAAACGAATCAATTACCTTCAACAGGAATAATAAACATATCAGTTGCCTTCAATGTTAACATCAAATCGATTAGGAATAATAAACATATCAGTTGCCTTCAATGTTAACATCGAATCGATTAGGACTAATAAACGAATCAATTACCTTCAACGTTTACATCGAATCGATTAGGACTAATAAACGAATCAATTACCTTCAACAGGAATAATAAACATATCAGTTGCCTTCAATGTTAACATCAAATCGATTAGGAATAATAAACATATCAGTTGACTTCAATGTTAACATCGAATCGATTAGGAATAATAAACATATCAGTTGACTTCAATGTTAACATCGAATCGATTAGGACTAATAAACGAATCAATTACCTTCAACGTTTACATCGAATCGATTAGGACTAATAAACGAATCAATTACCTTCAACGTTTACATCGAATCGATTAGGACTAATAAACGTATCTGTTACCTTCAATGTTAACATCGAATCGATTAGGAATAATAAACAAATCAGTTGCCTTCAATGTTAACATCGAATCGATTAGGACTAATAAACGAATCAATTACCTTCAACGTTTACATCGAATCGATTAGGACTAATAAACGTTTCAATTACCTTTAACGTTAACATCGAATCGATTAGGACTAATACACATATCAGTTACCTTCAACATTAACACCGAATCGATTAAGACTAATACACATATCAGTTACTTTCAACGTTAACATCGAATCGATTTGGACTAATAAACATATTAGTTACCTTCAAAGTTAACATCGAATCGATTAGGACTAATAAACGAATCAATTACCTTCAACAGGAATAATAAACATATCAGTTGCCTTCAATGTTAACATCAAATCGATTAGGAATAATAAACATATCAGTTGCCTTCAATGTTAACATCGAATCGATTAGGAATAGTAAACATATCAGTTACCTTCAACGCTAACACCGAATCGATTAGGAATAATAAACAAATCAGTTTCCTTCAACGTTAACATCGAATCGATTAGGAATAATAAACATATCAGTTCCCTTCAACGCTAACATCGAATCGATTAGGAATAATAAACATATCAGCTACCTTCAACGCTAACATCGAATCGATTAGGAATAATAAACATATCAGTTGACTTCAATGTTAACATCGAATCGATTAGGACTAATAAACATATTAGTTACCTTCAAAGTTAACATCGAATCGATTAGGACTAATAAACATATCAGTTACCTTCAATGTTAACATCGAATCGATTAGGACTAATAAACGAATCAATTACCTTCAACGTTTACATCGAATCGATTAGGACTAATAAACGTATCAATTACCTTAAACGTTAACATCGAATCGATTAGGAATAATAAATAAATCAGTTACCTTCAACGTTAACATCGAATCGATTAGGACTAATGACCATATCAGTTACCTTCAACGTTAACATCGAATCGATTAGGACTAATAAACATATCAATTACCTTCAACGTTAACATCGAATCGATAAGGACAAATAAACATATCAGTTACCTTCAACGTTAACATCGAATCGATTAGGACTAATAAACATATCAGTTACCTTCAACGTTAACATCGAATCGATTAGGAATAATAAACAAATCAGTTACCTTCAATATTAACATCGAATCGATTAGGACTAATAAACGTATCAATTACCTTCAACTTTAACATCGAACCGATTAGGACTAATACACATATCAGTTACCGTCAACGTTAACATCGAATCGATTAGGAATAATAAACAAATCAGTTACCTTCAATATTAACATCGAATCGATTAGGACTAATAACCATATCAGTTACTTTCAACTTTAACATCTAATCGATTAGGACTAATAACCATATCAGTAACCTTCAATGTTAACATCGAATCGATGAGGACTAATAACCATATCAGTTACTTTCAACTATAACATCTAATCGATTAGGACTAATAACCATATCAGTAACCTTCAATGTAAACATCGAATCGATTAGGACTAATAACCATATCAGTTACTTTCAACTTTAACATCTAATCGATTAGGACTAATAACCATATCAGTTACTTTTAACGTTAACATCGAATCGATTAGGACTAATAAACATATTAGTAACCTTCAACGTTAACATCGAATCGATTAGGTCTAATAAACATATCAATTACCTTAAACGTTAACATCGAATCGATTAAACATATCAGTTACCTTCAACGTTAACATCGAATCGATTAAAGATATCAGTTACCTTCAACGTTAACATCGAATCGATTAGGAATAATAAACATATCAGTTACATTAAACGTTAACATCGAATCGATTAGGACTAATAAACATATCAGTTAGCTTCAACGTTAACATCGAATCGATAAGGACTAATAAACATATCAATTACCTTCAACGTTAACATCGAATCGATTAGGACAAATACACATATCAGTTACCGTCAACGTTAACATCGAACCGATTAGGACTAATACACATATCAGATACCTTAAACGTTAACATCGAATCGATAAGGACTAATAAACATATCAATTACCTTCAACGTTAACATCGAATCGATTAGGACTAATAAACATTCAGTTCCCTTCAACGTTAACATCGAATCGATTAGGACTAATAACCATATCAGTAACCTTCAATGTTAACATCGAATCGATTAGGACTAATAAACGTATCAATTACCTTTAACGTTAACATCGAATCGATTAGGACTAATAAACATAT